CAAGTCCTCTTTTGATCGGCATGCTATAATTATATCATCAACATAAACAAGGATTAATGATAAGTCACCTCTTCCGTTCCTTTTGTAAAGACACGGTTCATTTTCACATGCTACAAAATCTATGCCTTGTAGTACACAATCGAGCTTGGAGTTCCACTCGCGCCCCGACTGCTTCAATCCATATATTGCCTTTTTAAGCAATAAAGCCTTACTTGGATTATTGGGATCTGTGTATCCCTGTGGCTGCTTCATATAAACAGTTTCATGCAGGTCGCTATTCAAATAGGCGGTACACACATCTATCTGGTGAAGGTACAGCTTCAATTCCGCTGCTAACGCCAAAATAAACCGCACGGTTTCCAATCTGCAAACGGGTGAGAACGTCTCTACATAGTTCACGCCATACTTCTGGGAGCACCCTTTAGCAACGAGTCGTGCCTTGAAACGTTCGACTTTTCCATCAGAGTCACGTTTCAGGCTGTATACCCACTTGCAACCAACTGCTCGCTGATCTTTTGGTAAATCAGCCATCTGCCAGGTTTCGTTTGATTGTAGTGCCTGATATTCCTTTTGCATCGCCTCTTGCCAGAATACTGCATGTGTGCTACCAACGGCCTGATCATAGGATGTCGGAACCATTACGTCACTAGCAACCAATGCTCCAAGCACATTGTATTGCTTTCTTGGACGACCAGGTTTACCATTTCGAACAATTTTAGGCCGGCCTGGCCCAATCTTCACAGTATCCTCGTCAGAGTCTTCTTTTTCGACTGCACTCTCATATGCGTTGGAGCTGCTGTCGTCAGAACTGTGCTCACTGTCATCGTCGTCGATGCTTCTGTCACCATCCGTGTGAGTGACATGCTCTTGAACCTCGCATGCAGGAAAATCTACCGTAACGGTATCTTCATTGGTATGACCACCACAACGCTCATCAAATAGAATGTCTCGTTTTTCGACAATCGTCCTCGTCTCTGGGTCGTATAACCGATAGCCTTTGGCTGCTACCGAATACCCAACCATACGGTACTCATGCCCTTTGGGTTTGAATTTGCCTTTACGGGGACCCTTTGCAAGTGCAACTGCAATGGAACCAAAAACTTTTAGATGGCTAACACAGGGTTTCTTACCTGTCCACGCTTCCATTGGAGTCAGGTTGTTCAGTGCACTGGTAGGTGATCTGTTTCTTATGTATACTGCTGTGTTGACTGCTTCGGCCCACAAAGACTCGCCTAGGCCCGACTGCACCAATAAGCATCTGGACATCTCCGTTAATGTCCGGTTTGCTCTTTCCGCCACGCCGTTCTGCTGCGGAGTATAAGCCACGGTCAATTGCCTTGCAATACCATGGTGTTTCAGGAAACCGTTGAATGTTGTGTTGACAAACTCGCCTCCATTGTCGGTTCGAATACATTTGAGCTTTTTATCTGTTTGCCGTTCAACCAAGTTTTTAAATTCGACGAACTTACTGAACACTTCATCTTTCTTCCGCAAAAAATAAACAAATATACGCCTGGACTTGTCATCGATGAAGGTCAGAAAGTATTTGGATCCAGCAAGTGACTTCGTGTCGAATGGGCCGCATACATCAGCATGAACCAGTTCCAACAGCTCTTCGGCACGGTTAGTGCTTACCTTTGGGAATGGCTGTACATGTATTTTGCTTAGCATACACGTTTTGCAATTCAAGTTGTCTGGGAAAACAACCTTTCCAATACCACGCACTAGCTCTTTGCTGATCACTTCCTTCAGACTGGTAAAATTTAAATGGCCATAACGCTTATGCCACAATGTACCATCTGATTCAGTTGCGGAATAACACCTATTTTGTTTGCCTTGAAACATATAAAGGTTCCCAACTTTATTCGCTTTCAGTATACACTCGCCGTTTTGTATAACTTTAGCAAAATGTGGCCCAAAATGTATAACATTGTTCTTTTGCACTGACCGGCTGACGGACATAAAGTTGCCATTCATTTTCGGTACATACAGTACATCTGACAACACCAAGGTACAAAGTTCTGTCTGTAACTTCACCTCTCCTCTGCCTTCGGCCTTCAGGAAACCAGCGTCAGCTAAACCGATCATTTCAGTGTGCGCAATAAATTTTGAAAATAACGTCTTATCGCAACACATATGGCTTGTTGCTCCGCTGTCCAGACACCACATGTTGTTCTCTATCTTTCCAACGTCCAACGCATTTAACAAGCTGCTCTGCTTTTCCATCTCTTTCTTTGTCGATTGCTTTTTCCCTTCACCGCGAATTTTCTCACGCTTGCACTGTGCCTTGTAGTGCCCTTTTTCGCCGCAGTTGTAGCAAACGACGATTTTTGAATTCCTTTTTGAATTCGCTTTGGAATGCGCGACGATCTGCTGCGTAGCTATAAATGCTCTTGCATTCTCGCTCTCTCCATCTGCATTGCCTCTGCGCTCTCCCTCTTCCATCAGCTTGATACATAACACATCAAATGACGGTAAATTGTCACGCGTCTCAATGGCGACGACAAAATTTTCGTATGGTTCGGGCAAGCTTGACAACAACACGATTGTTTTTAACTCATCATTTAATTCGATGCCAACTGTACACAAACCATCCAGAATTTCGTTAAATTCGTGTATGTAACTTGAAATGCTTTGGCCTTGAAACATGCGTTTGCCTAGCAATTTCTTGTACAGCGACACTTTCCGTACAGGTCCACTCGGCTGATGAACGTCCTTTAACTTTTTCCATGCCTCGTACGAAGTGTTGCAATTTTTAATGAAGCCCAATTGTGAAGCTTTTACACTTAGCGTTATAATTGCTAATGCCTTTTCATCTTTTGGCCTTGAACTCTCAGTATTACTAGGTTCAGCACCTGATGCCACACTCCACAATTCCGCGTGCACTAAGACAGATCGCATCTGTATGCTCCATGAGTCATAGTTATGCTCTTCCAATTTGTCTATTTGATATAGCGCACTCATTTTTTAAATGTTATATTTCTTGAGTCACCAAACGATTACTATTTCACAATACTTTGAACTTCTCCTATGAGCCTATATGCCCTGGGCCCATAACCTATTGAATAGATTATATATTCGCTGAAAAGGGAAGGGCTCAGTAGGAGTAAAGTAAAAGACAATAGTCGCGGACCGCCGTGCGTCTGTTCGCTTTAGAGTTTTATTGGAGACTGACACTTTTGCTATACATATTCTTTATGCTTACATTCGTATGCAACAGTGACAGATAACTTGTAGATAACATAAGATTATTATCTGCTTATATTAACATGCGTGCATTGGTACTTATGTTTGTATTGATTTTCAACAATTAAAACAACAAATGGCAACAACAATATCAGCATCATCATTACGGCCACTATACGATTATGTTCAGCATGACGCGCAGTGTCGAGTGGGCGAATGAGGCGACTGCGGAGTTTCACATAATGGCTAAAATGGTATTACGTTGCAGTCATAGCCATAGTAGTGTATGGCTAACAGAAACGTGTGCGCCACTCTCCACTGAGTTAATTGAAACAATAATGCTGTGAAATCTAAATACTTCCGGCTTTAAATTATAAATTTAATTGAATCTATATAGAGCTTAATATTTAGACAAAAGTACAAGATTTGTATTAGGATTTTAGAAACATGACAACTAACTGAATTGGTTTACTCTCTTGCTTAGTTTAAATATCATTTTTGTAGATGTTAAACAAATATTAATTGTAGTAGATAACATTTATTTAAGAAAAAAGCCAAAAAACACTTATTTATAAATATAAAATAATACTAAGAATAATGGTTACTTTGCTTTACAATTAAAACACAAATTAAGTTCTCACCACTTTTTACCTTTATTTCGCAACTAATTCTTGAAAATGATAAATCAAATGTCAATATATATCACTATATAAGCTTCATTGTTAATATTTCTGTCTACTTTAAGTTTATTCTGTTGTGCATCTACTGCTCCCCAAACTTAGCTGGATCACTCATTTGTTTCTTTTATGTTTTGTCGTTTGCCATTTGCTTGCCAAAAACGCAAGGCAAAAGTTTCATTTTAATGACAAGCGGTAATTTTTCTCCACGAGTCTGGCTAAATACTTTTTTTTTGGTCTTCTGCTCTCCTTCTGAGAGGCGCTATGTCATTGCGAGATGTGAGTATGTGTGCGTGTGTGGGTGAAATTAGCAACACATGGCAGGAAATTATTAAATAAACAGAATATGCCTTTTGCCGCTGTTTAAATATGAAACATTTTGGCGCAGTGTACTCGTAGCTTAAAGTGCTCACTACGTTTAAAGTAATTACAACATTTTGCATTTTGTTGTATGTTGTTGCATGTTGTTAAAATGTTGTGTATGTGTGTGTGTGTGTGTGCTTTAATGCTTTCTGCATGCCTTTTGCTTTTTCGCCCATGCTGCGCTAATGTGCTTTGAGCCAAATGTTTAGCGGAAATTATGACAAGCTGAGCTGTGTTTCTTTTATTTTCAGTCGAGCTAATGCGTTTTTAAGTATACCGCACGGCTATGTGTTGACATTAATTAAGAGCATGCATAGTAAAAACTTTTAATTGGACTGTGGTCCAATTACAAAGCAAATTCTGCAAGGTTGCTACACAGAAAATTTAATTGACGGCCCCTAAAAGTAGGCAATGCAGAATTGTAATTTCCTTTAATTAGAGACCGATGGATATAGCTTTTTAACGGTTAAAGGCAAATAATTTGCACAGCTAAATGTAACTTCAATGAAAATCGGTAAGAATTCTCTATTTTAGCTTAGTTTGCGACTTACTTATTAAAGCCTATTTGTGAAAAAGAACGCATTTATATGTAAATTATTTGTATATATGCTTAACTGCATTTTTCCTTTCGCCCCAAAAAGTAGGCAGTGGAATTTTTGTGTATTGAGAAGGCAGCCACAACTAACTGTAGAATGGCACTATCTTATATTGTTACTTAATATCTTATGAAAAACTATGCCAGCGATATCTAACATTTGATATTATATTACATACCTGTTGCTGCTCTCGGGTCGTATACGTAATATATATAATACGCTCGTATTCTGTGGCCGAACGACACTTTATTTTAGGTTTAATTTCAATTTTGTTGCGCACGTACGTTAGGCTGGGCCTAGATATATGCCATGAGACTTAGCGTCGGAAAAATCTAGGGGTAATCATGTAATAAGCCGCACTTTCACAAACACACACACACTCAAGGATACACAATGATACACGGGCGCATGCCTTGGCAGTAGTTTGTTGTTGTTGTTACCACGCACAATGTTGTTTTTATTGTTGTTGCACGACTCACTCTTACGTCCTACAATTTTTTTTTGCTTTTTTTGGTTGAGGTGGGGTTGCGGCGTGCGTCCCTCGTCGTCCTGGTTTTGGCGACGTGAAAGGCAACAGCTTGAAATGCTATTAAAATATAATCTGCTGATAATCTGCACTTAATTTCGTGCTCTGCCCCAAAGGAAGAAGGAAAGAAAGTATCTTGCCAGCTGGCACATTGGCTAGTTGTCCCTGCTCCTTGTTGCTTCTACTTCTCCTCGTTATTGGTGATGTTAATGTTTCCACACAGTAGTTTTTTTTTTTTTTTGTTTGCTTTAAGCACACACATTAAATGATGTCTCGCATTTGTCGTAATTTGTAATTGCGTTTTAGTTTACTAGCACGGCCTTTTAAATTTATAACTCACTTGTATTTGTGCAACAACTTTTTCTCTTACACTTTGTTACAATTTTGCATTTATTAGACTGTCCAGCAGCTAGTGCTGCTTGTATTTTTTGCTTGCTGTCTGCGTCGTCTTTGTTGAAGCTTTACGCTCTGTTGATTTTTAATGTTCGCTGAGTTCATGCGGCAACAACAACAACAGCAAGAACAGGTGCACTCATGTGCGTGTTGTTGTTGCTGCAATGCTCTTGTTACCTTTTTTTTGTGATACACTCGCACTTTTTTCGCCTTTTGGCTTTTTGAAATTGATCAAATTTTCGTTTCTCTTCTTTTTTTTAATCAAATTTCCACTTCAATGAAGGAAGGACAATTTAGTTTCCTGATTTCCTGCTTCCATTATTCTGTGTGTGTGTGCACGACCGCCTGTTTGTTTGAAGTGCCACAAGGGAGGAGCACAGGAAATGAGAAAACATGAAAAAAGTGAAAAATGTTAGTGATAGTTCAGGTATTGTATTACAGTTTAAATGTATGCAAAGCGTATCGGTAAGAGACTGCTACTGCCGACTGAAATTTACACTTTTTTAATATTAGGAAATATTTGTGCTTATTCAAAAAAAAAGTATGATTTTCAAACTTCAATCTTAAAAATTTTTCATTTATAAGTATAGATCGATCTGCTATTAACATAATTTTAGTTTTGGTATTTAATGTAATTTAAAATGTAACTTGAAACTACTTTTGAACACTTAGACTTATGTATCGGGTAATATTTATAAAAATTAACAACTAGTCTGGCTTCAATAAAATTACAAGCAATACTTATTGCAAGAATATAGGAGTATATGTATTAGTTTAGGCATATTGTAGATCAGTTTTTACTCCTTTTTCATTTCTATCTTAATGAGTTTTCAAAAATATTATTTTAGCCGTATTTTACAACTGTTTTCATTATTAATATTTAAATAAATGATTATTAGCTAAAATAAATATTTAATGCAAAAAATATTATATTATGAAATAGAGAAAATTAATATTAAACGTTGTTGATTTTTAATTAAATGTATATAGTAGTAATTAGTTGGTTAAATAAAGACAATCTCTTTACATAAAAAAGCTATAGTGCGAACCTACCAAAAACAATCTATAATGTAAAGCAAGTCAAAAATTATATAAACTCAATTAACGAATTAAACCCAAAAACATAAACGAAAAAGAAAAGAGGGATGGGTCTGTAAGTAAACTGCTTCGAACGAAATGTTATTATTACCTTTTTAAAATATATTAAGGCTTAGCAATTGAAAATATTTAATTATTGCACTTTGTATTTTTGTTTTGCTGGCAGTCTTTTTAAAGCCGAAAAATTTCCTTTTTCTTTGCGAGTAACTGGTTGTAAATACAAGTAGTTTACAAATTGTTAATATTTTTGCATCAACGTAATCAAGCTTTTACTTCAAATACGTAAACAAGTGAATTATTAATATTTGTTCTGTGATTTCCTATAACTTAATTGCTATTCTCCTTACCTAAGCACTTCACCATGTACTTATTCACTGTGTGTTTTCTGCTAAGTATTCTTTTCCCATTAAAATAAATTGTGTTTTCACTTCGCTAATTCCAGCGAAACTCTCATAACTTTGTGCAACATGAATATACCATTTATGTAATTGAATATAACCTTTGCGAATGCCACCAACCACTCAGTCCCTGACTCTGCCACTGCCTTTGACCATCAACTTGTTTCGCTCTCCCTGACTCCTGCCATCTTTGGACTTGGCCACAATTCCAACCCAACCACAGCTCATGGCCATTTCATTTCCTTTTTAATTTAATTCCGCGCTCTTAGCATGTCGCATTTTACTTCTTACTTAATTTTTATGCCGTGTTTCATTATTTTTATATATTTTTTTCTTGGCTCCTTCTTTTCTGATCCTCTTAACGTGGCTGGGTTTGCGTTCGCTTGATGCCGTTTGTATGGCATTTGTGTGTTGTGTGTTGTGTGTTGCTGGTTGTTGGTACTCATAAAAACCGAAATGCAACACCGTGGCATTAACACGGCCACACACTCATACTCCTACACTCTTAATACCCACCACACATCAAAAAAATATTCCATTTTCGTTTATTTCATTGAAGCATTTGCTGGCTGTAGTATAAGTAGGTAAGTAAGACTGTGGTTGTGTGCGAGAGCTTTACTGTGTATATGCGTGTGTGTGTGTGTGTGTGTGTGTGTGTGTGTGTGTGTGTGTCGCCCACATAACCGCGTGTCACTTGCATGAAATTATAATTGTGTTTTTTGCCCAAAACCAGCGCACCAGCATGGCCGAATGCATGTGCTTCCCTGTGGGTGTATGAATCTGAGATTGTGTGTGTGTAGGTGTGTGTTTCAACTGTAAAATATTTAATTTCCTCAGCGCAAATAATACCTTCCGGTTATTTTAGCCGCCGTGCCACAACGCGCCTCTTCTCTGCTTTGGGGGCGCAAATGCGGCATGTTTATAATTTTTTTTTTTCAAATCTATTTAGCCGCGACTTCCGAATGGCCAGAGAGCCGCACATATACCATACCAGATACATATAGACGCACTGCCAATGTTTCTGGTGTTGTTGTTGTTGTTGGCCTTTATTGCTTGGCATTTCAAAATGAAATCACTTCCCTACTCCCCAGTTTGTTGTTGTTCCTGCTGCTGCTGATATGTTTTGCCATTTATGCTTCATTTATTTTTGATGGTTTTCAGCATTTTGAGCAAAATGAAAAATTTAACAGCAGCCGCCACCGCCGAAGCAGCAACCTGCCAGAATGCGCCCACATTTCTGCCTAAACGTTTAATGGTTTATTGTAAACTTTGTCTAAATTATTGTGTTCTATTTGTATGCTTAGGTTTGTGTCTGTGTGTGTGTGTGCGTGCTTGCTGCTTTTTTCCATGAAATATCATTAATTTTATGGGTTTGCTTTGTTAATGCCACATTGGTTTTGGTCTTGGGGTCCGCTGTGGCAGTTCCTTTGCTGCAGATTAAATATAGTCGTGCCTGGGCAGAGGTCAAGCGATAACAATATTATAGCGTTTATGTTTTATACACAACCATTAACCATTGATTCCCATACTAAAAATAACATGCGTTTCAAAATTGTTTGCCCCCAAAGGTGGAAATATGATACTCGAATTTTATAGACACAATAAACCGTTTAAGGGAAACACCAAAATGCACAAACAAATGCATGTCAGGGTGGGATTGGGACGCCCCAACTTTATTTCTTATACAAAGCAATTAAATATGTTTTAATAGAAGTTATTTTTGCAGCCTTAAGAGCCTTTTGAAATTTAAATAATTTACACACTGCTTTTTTTAACAAAAATTTCAAAGTTCATGCTTTTTTTTCATACTCCTGGGCTCCAACAATTAATTTTCTTAAATTTCTTGAATTGCTAAATTGCATTTTATTTGTAAGCGTATCTAAAAAATTCAAATTATTGAATAAACAGTACAGCCAGATACCACAAACTTCAATATAAATACAATTATAGATAACACCCAGACATTGAGCCTCAAGATTACAAAATGTAAATTACTCTTTATCAAATAATTTTGGAATCGTTAATTAGGAACTGAAATTAGCATAAATATGTGATAGCTTTAAATAGGGCGTGGAAGCGTATTTTTAAAGAAGTTTCTTTTTGCTTAACATTCCCATTGGAGTAACTCTTTCTTTTGTTGCTTTACAAAAAATTAAGTAGTAAAAGAAAGAATAGTAAAATGACTAAAATTTCCTAAAGTTAAAAAAGTTGCGCATTAACTTTTATTATTTTATTATTATTTATTATTATTGATTGTGAAATATAACTCTAATTTAATTTTATTTATGTGTAGTTAACAGACGTTACACAACATGAATCAGTATTAGGTAAGAAAATAACTTTTTCTTTTAATTTAATTCAATCAATTGAATTCAATGAATGTCTAACGCAAAGCATTTGCCACTTAAATAATCTCTTTTTCTATACAATCAAAGCAATACAAATATTTAATTTATGTATGTATTAAAAATTTTCATTTTTTTATGATTGAGCATATTTGATATTTACATTTTAAAAAAACTACAACTGCATTTTAAATACTAATTCGCTTTCGTACATTTTACCGATATATTCTTTTTTTAACCATTTGACAGTGATTGATTTATGTTTGGATCTTGTCAATTGCAGATTCTTTTTTATTGAAATCAGAAATTAGCTAATCTGTCATTCCACTTAACGTGTAATATTGTTCTTTATGGTTATTGCTGTTTTGATTTGGTTGTGTCGGCTACAAATGCTCAAATTAGTGAGTTAACATAATCTCCATAATATTAATCCCGCAAATTAACTTTCGCTTGCGCATCCTTAAGCAGCCCTTCGTACTCAGTTCGCGGTGCAACAAAAGCATGCAAATTTATTTCATTAAATTACTTTGAAGCATGTCCAACAGTAGTAGCAACAAAAATAAACACCAACCATTTCAAAAACTGCTGTGTTAATAAAAAGCCATAAACTCATTTTATGATTTATTTGCTGCCTTCTTTTTTAAAGAGAGACAAAAATGTCACTTTTAACAAGGGCCCCAGAAAATGTCTCCTTTTTTGCTTTGATTCTCGGTCGCCTTTTAATGAGGTTTGTGATGCAGGATTCGCCAATGCCTCGCTCCTCCTGGCCCTCCTGACCCGTTTCTACTGGTGCTGGTGTGTAGTAAGCTGTATTAATTAAAAAGGGTTCCTCAAGTGCAAATGACGCCGGCCGGCGACATTTGAACTGGCACAAGTGTCAGGAAAACTCGCGTTCGTC